GGCGAAAGATCGCAACCAATGCTACCCCACAGGGTTTATCCCCAAGCTCAGAAACCGAAAGTCTAAATATCTCTTCTGCTTCTCACTGGAAGCGGAAATAGCACAACTATGGTCACAGAAAGTGATATCTCCTCTATCGGCCGATTGCTCGATTCAGACCGTAATCCTCCATAAATCACCATCTTCTACTCATCCCTGAGTCTTGCGACTCCAACTGGCATTTCACCAAAAATCTTCCGGAAACTATCTCGATTTCTCTCTCACGGTATGCTCCCTTGAACTCGCTCAACATGGCCCTATGGCCCCACACTCTATCACATCTGATCTCAGTCTAATCAATCACAACGGGATAACTGGTAAAACCAGAAGCACTATCCGCCACGAATCATGGTACTCGAACCATGTTATCTCCTCTCAATCTGCTACGAATCATGGTACTCGAACCATGTGATCACCTCCCAATCTGCTACTTAGAACCTCTGGAACTCTCCCTGTATCGAGCATGGGTCCTCTGCTTTCAGTAGTACGGGCCCATACTACCTGCCACATCTACCCATACTTTCCACACGGATCATCCCAGATTTCCTAAATAGCTGCTCCACTTCCTCAATCACCAATCTCGTCATACCTGGTTTCCCTCCTGCGAATACTCTCCTCTATCACCATACTTATCTGACAAAGGTCACTCTTTAGGCTCTTCCTAGGTTCTCACACTTCTCTGCCATCAGCTGTCGAAGAACTCCTTATGATGCCAACCGTCTACCTCTTGAATATCGTCACATTCACTTAGTAGCTGACTCCCATCATCAAGAGTTCCACAAAGCACGAAGCAAGCAACATTCGGGCATCGAATAATCTCCTCCGGCATGTAAAACCACTCTAGGTTACAACTCCACTTGCTCTGATCACACTCAAAGGTGTCACCGAACTCAAGCAACTCTACCCCACGCGGGTATCTAACTACTCTCTCAGTAGGATCCTCCGATGCTCGTCTAGGTATCTCTCCTAGATTACTCCTCTACTCATAACTCTCTCTAAAAGACTCCTGTTGGATACTCTTACTCCGTGCATACTTAAAGCACATCACAGATAACAACAATTCCTAGGCTAAGGCACCACAAATCAGGCAACTCTAGCCCTAATATATGAAATACCTAGCCTATCTTCTAGCATGCATCACTAATATCTCAATAATGACTCATAACACAAATAAGTAAGGGTATTTTGGGAAATCACCGTTCGGGATCTGGCTGACTGTACACACTGCTCTTTCTCGTTTTTCCCTTAGAAACTCTTGCTCGTTTTAGAAAATCATTTATTTTTGAAATTTTTTCTCAAATCATCAGTTTGAGTCCAGACTTGCCCGACGGTGCATCCGAATCCCTCAAACCAAGGCTCTGATACCAACTTGTAACACCGTAAATTTTCAAATAAAATTTTCTTTTAAAATCGCATAATTCTCATAACACATATCACAAAAATCTCATGTATTTAATTTATAAAAACACAACTCCATAATTGATTGATTAATAATCCAGGATCCTCAAAACATAACTCTTTCTCTAGTGTGTACAATCTAGCCGATGCCCTCCCGCGATCCTGAGAAAAACCTGAAACACATAACACATAACACGGTAAGCACTAAGCTTAGTGAGTTCCCCAAAATACCATGCACAAATAATTAGCCACTCGAGGCTATAGCTCTGGAAGACCCTCCGATCAATGTGTCTCAGTGGGACCCTCCAATCCCACAGCTCGTTGGACCCTCCGGTCCGGTCTAAGTGAGAACCTTCCGATCTTACTACTCGTTGGACCCTCCGGTCCGGTCTAAGTGAGTCCCATTCGGTCTCGTACTCTGATGGACCCTCTGGTCCTAACTTTGATGGCTCTGAGTAATATACAACATAAATCACAAAGAAATAATACAGGATATCACAATACACAATATAAACACATAAGACATCCCAGTCACACAAAATACCACTCATGGTAAGTATAGTGAGAAGACTCACCTTGCGAACAAGCAACCAAATATCCTCGAACTCGAATCTCGAACTAGCCACCGCCTAACACATAGGGTAAATATCTCTAATTAATACTCGATTCTCGACTCTAAGTAACCACATGTTATCCTTTTCTCTCTAACTCTCGAATTGGGTAAAAGACCATTTTACCCCTCCATGGTCTCCATTACTCATGTTGACCAAACCCTAAAGTCAACAGAAGTCAAACTCGAGTCAACAGTCTATGTTTGACCCGACTCGCCGAGTGCACCCTTGTGACTCGTCGAGTCCATTCATTTCCTCTGAAGTATGGTGGAAGTCCAGCTCAGCTCGTCGAGTTGACCCCCAACTCGCCGAGCTATCGCATGATTCAGCTCTCCGGGACAAACCCTAACCAACTCGTCGAGTCGGCTCATCGACTCGGCGAGTTCATTCAGACCCATTGCTCATTCAGACGATTTAAAACAGATCTATCACTCCCAACACTAGATCTGTTATCACAAGGCTCAATAATCACGTAAAGCTTCGATCTTTACGTTCATGCATGATGTATTTGCTCCAAAATGCCAATACACGCCCTTTATGAATGATTAAGCCCAAAAACCCTCATATGGATGAATAAAGTTGGGACATCTGGACTCTAGGGACCTCACAAGGTCCAGATCTGAGGTCTAGACTTCTTGATAACTCATGCTACTCAAGGACCCAAACAAAAGATGGCAAAAAGCCCTAAAACTCCATAGATATGAGATCTATCCAAAATAAGAGGAAAGGTGAAGACTTTCATACCTTCCTCAAGAGCTCTGGACATGAAATCACTGGACCCAACAGCCTCGCCTCCAGCTCCTTGCTTGATAACCTCCTCCTCTTCCTTAAATGATGCACAAGAACCTCAAAATGAGCTTCTCTCTCACTCTGTAGCTCAAATAACAATTAGGGTTTGTTATCAAGGGTATAGGGTAACTGATGAGGCGGAAATGTGGCATAAGTTTCCTTATATAGGCCTCAGCCCCGGGAAATTAGGGTTTCTCTGCCCAGCATCTACTCGGCGAGTCAGTTTCCCGACTCGTCGAGTCCATTCATTAATTCCCTGCGAATATCTCGACTTGACTCGGCGAGTTGGACCCTCAACTCGTCGAGTCTCTCCACAAATCTTCAAATTAAAATACACCATACTATACCTGAAAAATCTGGATGTTACATATATATATATATATATATATATATATATATATATATATGTATAGTCAGGATCTTTTGCGAACCCATATTTTCTCGCAAACAACTCTTTAAATGCGATTTTTTTTATGATATATTTTTTTTTCAAAAAAAGTGACATAAATCATCAAATCGGTCCTATAGAAACATATTCTAAAAACAATCTAAAAAAGGGCATATACGAAAGGTGTATATGTGCATTTTTACGAACTTTGTGAATTTCCGACGTTTGTGCACATATGCACATGTCGTATATGCACTTTTTTCTAGATTTTTTTACGAATAAACTTATAGAGGACTAATTTGGTGCTTTATGTCACTTTTAAAAAAAATATCATTCAAGAAAGTTCGTAGTTTAAGAGTGATTTGACGGAAAATATAGGCTCACTATATATATATATATATATATATATATATATATATATATATATATATATATATATATATATATATATATATATATATGGGTGATCATTATTTTCATTGTTATAGCCAATATAATGTCAATAAGTATTCTTGTGGTGAAGCTTCAACAATTATATATTAAATCCTAAATGGGTCTTATGAAAAATCATATAAAACTGGAAAAATCAGTTAAGCGCAAGTAGAGCCGGCAAAATCGACCCAACCCGCCAACCCAACTCGAACCCAACCCAAAATTAGCGGGTTGGGTTGAGAGTTTCAACCCATTTAAATTAAATGAGTCAATCCGTCTAACTCATTTAATTAAATAGGTTGAGTTGGATAAAAATTATCAACACATTTTCAACCTGTCAACCCATTTAACTTTAATATGTATATTTAATTTATTATTATTTGAATATTATTATGTATTAATCAAAGTATTAATTTGTAATTATAATGTTGCATTATTATTTTCTATCTTTAATAAAATTCAATCATAATTTCCATCATTTTTTAGTGCCGATAATACTAGTTACTCTCCAAAATCCCCCTGAAGGTAAACACTTTTAATGTTATTTGCACAATTTATTTGTATTTATGAATTATGATTGTGCTTTTGTCTTAATTATGAAGTTTTATTTACATTTTATAATTTAAGTGATATAATATTTAATTATATAATTTATTTAATTGATTTTAAATGGGTTAACCAAAGTTTAACCCATTTATTTAATAGGTTGGGTCGGAAACTACGTAAACAGGTCAATCCAGTGACAACCCATTTATCTAAAAGGTTAGGTTGGAACCCATTTAAATAAATAGGTTGGGTTGGGTTGAAAATTTCAACACAATTATTAAATGGGTTGAACCCGTATCCAACCCAGGTCGACCCATTGCCACCTCTAAGCGCAAGTGATTACTTGGCTCGATTGAGGAGCTTGATGCATTCTGCAAGGAGCGGAAATTAAAGGATCTTGATGCTTTCCGAATCAAAATCATCGGGGAATGCGAGAGAAAACATGAGGTAAGATCTGAAAATCCTAGCTTCGACGTCTTACAAGATTTGTACATAGGGAGGGGTTGGATGGGGTGGGGGTGGGATTTTTTTTTTCCGGTTTTCTTTAATTAAAAAAATAATAAAAGAAATTGAATAATATATGTTTAATGCGCTATTAATATTTAAGGTTGAATGAATGTTGACTAAACCAAAAAAAAAATGCCAATCTCATGGATCAAAATTATCAAAAAAATATCTAAAATCGAATCAATGGTGGGCAAGACTAAATTCTTTTAGACCAAACATGCCTTAATTTACTCTAATTTCAACTTTGAAATAATATTTGCTTTCGTCTTTTGCTAATTTCAACTTTGAAATACTATTTGTTTTCGTTAGTTTCTTCCCTGTTGCTTCACACGCCAAAATTCACACCTAGTAAAAAACCTATCTTCACACACTCTCTCTCTCTCTCTCTCTCTCTCTCTCACACACACAAACGCACGCACACACTTTCTTCATTTGGTAAAGCAAAAATCTTCAGATTTTCCTTTCATTTTCCGGAATGTTGCAGACTTCTTTGATCGGTAAGCTCTCATTGCCCTATTATGCAACTTCCTAATCAAGAAATCTATTATTTTGCTTTTATTATTTCCCCTTCAAGTGTAGAAGTTAGGAAATGTGAAACACGAAGCTGATTTCGTAGTTCTGATTTGTTTTTTTGTTTATTTGCTTGTTTATTTTAGTGTTACTTGTGATGTGATTTTTTGATTTCTGATTATAGAAACCATAGTTATGGTGTCTGATTTTATGTCTATGTGGAAAACAGAAATCGTTTCCGATTTTGGAAGTTTTCATTTTCGAAGCCTTAATACGTTCATTCCGATGAATACTGAATCACTTCATTCCATTTATCTGCGAAATGAATTTCAAGGAACTGGTTTGCTGTATTAAATGATTTCCCCCATTGTTTCTCTCAAGTCTTAATCATTTTTCTTTACCGGGAAAATGACTTTTATCATCATGAGGGAACAATCAACATTCAACATTCAACACTTCGCATCGACTCCCATCGATGTCACGTTTTTTGAGTTCCAAAAACTTTCTGAAAGTGGTGGGGGGACCATTTTAATTTGAAGTCTATAGTGCTTCATTCACTTTAGGGTTAAGGGCATCATTTCTTCTTCTTTGTTCTCTGTTATATTATAATGAACACTCCAATTGGAATTCGTGTTTGCTTTTCCCTAAGACTATTTCAGAGAAGAACTTTGTGGAGGCAAAAAGATAATAAAAAACTTTACACTTTTGTATGGTCATGTGTATTTTTTTAATCTGGTTGCGTGGACATGACTGTTTTTACACTTTCACTTGACTTATGCAATTGAATATATAACTTTCAACACCTTTATATCGTGGGGAATTGGGCCCTATATACTTTCCGTCCATCACAAAAAAGATAATAGATTTTATAAATCTTTCAAGCTCAAAGAAAAATAAAAAATTATCTTTCTATGTCTTCCTGAATAGAACCTCCCCTGCTAAACCATTTTCCAGATATGGAGTGGAATACAAAATGGGATTGGGAAAGCCTCGACATTTCAAGTCCTAAAAAGCTACAATCAACTGATTGGGGAATCAAAGAAAGAGAAGACATTGATGGGTATTTTAGTCTTTCTGATATTGGGAACAAATCATCAGCTAAAAGCTCCATATCTGAATCTTCATTGAAGGAAGTAATAAAAGGGTCAAATCTGTCATTTCCTGAGGCTTCAGTTTGCTCTTCTGATCAATCCATTGGTTTAAAACTCGGTAAAAGAACATACTTTGAGAACAACCTTCCAGGAAACAACACCAAAACATCATCTTCTTCAAATGCCCCTGTGAAAAAAGTTAAATTTTCTTCCCAAAATACCCCTATTCCACGATGTCAAGTCGAAGGATGCAATCTTGATCTTTCATCTGCTAAAGAATACCATCGTAAACACAGGGTTTGTGAAAATCATTCAAAATCATTAAAAGTTGTTGTGAGTGGCCTTGAACGCCGATTCTGCCAACAATGTAGCCGGTAAGCTTTTTATGAAATTTTCATTTACAGATTTTTAATAATTTCTTGATCATATAATATATATTTTTTTTAAAAAAAAAAATTGTTACAGATTTCATGGTTTATCAGAGTTTGATGGGAAAAAACGAAGCTGTCGTAGGCGACTTTCTGATCACAATACACGCAGGCGTAAGCCACAGCAGTCTAGAAATCTTTCTTCATCATTTTATGGTACTCAAATTTCTTATTAAATGACTTTTTAACACAATTTTTTTTTTTAATTATTAATTATGGTTTTGGATTTGCAGAAAGGGGAGAAGAATTGAGTTTTGTGTTTAATAATCAAAATAAACATGGAGGGCATAATACTCAGTTTCCAAATGATGTCAGCAATAGCATGCCTACTCTTGCTTTCAATAGGATGATGTCATCCAAGGGAATCTCAGCCGGCGTTTTTGATCAAGGTTGGTTTTCCTAGTTCTAGACCAAAATCGTCAAGGGTTTACAGTCGTTACTAGCAGTAAGGATGTAAGAACTTGTTTTATATGCACAGGTTCCGATGCAGGACATGATATTCGCCGTGCTCTCTCTCTTCTGTCAAACGATTCGTGGGATTCATGTGAGGTGGATTTCGGTGCCCTTAACCAACCCATGCATAGGAATGGTCACACCTTGGCTCAATACGGGGTGCATGTGGCTCACCATGGTTTGCAATTTTCTTCACCGGAGTACAGGTGGCAGGTTGACCACCAGTCAGTTGTTCCTCACACTCATTTTGAAGAATCTCATCTTCTTAAAGCACCCTACAGTAGTATTCAGTATGGGAATCCAATGGATGAAATCTTGAAGCCCTTGTGAGTTGTCAATAACTCAAGTTATGTTGTTGTTTTGATCATGTTTTGTATGTGGTCCATAGTTTTGAGGTGTTGAGTTCAAAGTAAATTCTTGCAAACTCTTGACCATTGACTTGATATTTTGAATATTTGACATGGTGTTATGGACCTTATTACCTTAAGATTGAGGTTTTTGGCATAGTTATGGTACATTTCTGAACCATCAACCATGAATTGTTATTATCATCCAGTTGAAGGCACAAAACATTTAGGGGATTTTTGGTTCTCAAAATGTATTGGAAGGAACAGAATTAAAATGTAAAGAATTTGGCATTTGAATTATGTAAAGTGCTTGGTTGGCAGGAAATAGAAGACTAGAGCCGTTTACTTGTGAAATTAGTATATGGTAAAAGGGTATTTTTAGTAAGTCTTAACAACAAGAAAAACTTTGGAATCGAATTTGATGCGTTTTATGATGGAATGTTGAAATCTATCGGTCAAAGGATGGAATCGAATCCCATGGAATCTTGGGAACAGAACGGCCCCCAAGAAAAATCTTTTATATGTTTATATTATAACCTACTACTTATATGTCTAGACATGAAAGAGTTTCTTTCATTACCTTAAGACCACCCACACAACAAATGTACTAAATAGAATTACATATGTTGAAAGGGTCTTTTGACTGTTAGACCGTTAGTGAATCCATATTCAACTTCACGACTGTCCAACATAATTGATTTTACAAAATAAGTAGGTAATTTTTTTTGTGAGTTTTCGAATTGGCTTGTGAGAATAATGATATTTAAGACGTGTATAATTTTAATGTTAAATATCAAATGTAATTTAAAGTAAAGGTTCTTATTTCTCCTTAGAAGGCGCAGGACATGATCAATCCAAACTAGGGGTGACAACCAATGGATTGAGTTGAGTCCAAAATGTGTTGAAAATCTTTACCAAATCCAACATTTTAAGCAACGGGTTGAGAATTTCAAACCCAACCCAATATTTTTAGTAAATGGGTTGAAATCGGGTTCACATGTTTATTGTTTTTCCATCTTAACATATTTACTAAACATGTTAAACCCGGATTGACACATTTGAATTTTCATAAAAAAATCTCTTAAAAATCAAATAATCTATCAAATAAAATTATATATAATTTAAATGCTATAATAATTGTTTAAGTTTAAAAATTATACAACAATAACTTTATAGACCTATAACACACACAAATAAATGTTTACAACCATAAAACAATATAAATGTTTAATTTCTAAATTCTACACAACTTAACTATTTTACCAAAATAAACAAAATGTAATGATCAACTAAATAATAACATAAATTAAAAAGAATTTAAAAAATTTAAATGGGTTGACGGGCTGTAAACGAGTTAGAAATTTCAATCTTAATCCAACCCTTTTAATTAAACGGATTATACGGTTTGACCCATTTAATTAAATGAGTTCAAAATCTCAACCCAACATACTATTTATTGGGTTGGGTTCGGGATGGACTGACGGGTTTGGGTTGGGATTGCCACCTTCCAAACATATATAGAAGAGAAAAAGTAAAAAAAATAAAAGGCATTTAAATTATCAAATCCTATATCAAATTAACAAAATATTCATGGAGTAAAGAAGACCAATATATATATATATATATATATATATATATATATATATTATATATATATATATATATATATATATTGTGTGTCAGAATGCATAGATCTGGACCATTGGATGAAATATAATAAATGGTCATGATCTGAGAGTCTATGATATTACAATGGGATAGCATGTACCATATAATCACACAAATTTCAGCATAAGGGTATTTTGGACAATTAACTATATTTAAAAAAGGAAATTTTTGGATTTTTAGGGATAATTAATTCTCCTAATTTTAAAAATCTGGATTTTTTATATTAATTCAATTTTAATTATAATGTAATTTGTAAACATAACCGATTTTATTCCGTCAGAATATTTTTTTTGTTAGAATGATGTTCTTTCAGAATTTTATTCTATTAGAATATTATTAAAGAATAACATAATTCTTGAATCCCGGTTGAAGAATAACAACATTCTAATATATTCTTATACATTCAAACTTAAATTCAAATTCTTACATATTCTAACAGACTAATAGTCTTATATATTTTAATATAATTATACATATTCTAAAAGAATATCAACAAAAATGAATAAAATTCTTAAAAAATAACAACATTCTTAAATTGTGAGTGTGATCAATCTTTTATTCATTCTTCAAGTTATTCCTATCATGTCTTCAACTCGTTATTCCAGCCATTCCTATCACAAATACAAAAAAAAAAAAAAAAAAAAAAACAAACGAAGAATGGTTAAAAGCATGTTACTTGCAATTCCTCTCACTTTATATATTATGGCTGAATACGTATAATATGATAGAATCCATATAATACATTCTGGCAGAATACATAAAATACATTCTAACAGAATACATTCTGCTAGTTATAGCTTTAATCGCTACAATACTTGTTTTTTTTAACTTCATTCAAAGTCTTTCTCTGATATGATCAATATTTGATTCGTTCTTGAAGGCATTCTAAAAGAATAACATGTGTTTTCTCATTCTATTGTCAAGTGAAATACAAGTAGCAAAATACATTCTGCTAGAATACACCTAACATGTAATAAGATAAAGTACAACCAAACACACTAACACACTAAACACACTAACACACTAATCAAATTCACCTAAAATCAATCATATACAAAATCAATCATGAGATAATGTACATCCAAACCCACCGATCAAACAAATTCTATATATTATATCAAGTTCTCTTTTAGACATTTTCACAAACACCTTACATGCAATAAGATAAAGTACAGCCAAACACACTAACATACTAATCGAATTCATTAGATAAGTTAACGTAGAGAAGACAGAGAGAAATGGTGACGACATAATATAAGTTAACTTACATATATATTAGATTACCTGTTGGAGACGACATAATATAAGTTTCCCTCTTTCAAACATAACTCGACCTTATCTGTTAACTCCTTAACAATCCTTCGCTCTTCCTCTGGAGTGCACGACAAGCATAGTGATTCGTTATCCATTAGGGCACCCGAATCAGCAATCGTTATGATCGGTACAAAACCTAAAAACGATAGAAGAAAAAATCAAATCGGACACCAACTATTGCTAAAACAGGGGTAAGATTGAATCAAATCTTTGGAAATATTGAAAAGGGGAAAAGGGTTTATGTACTTTGAAATGTAAATAATAGTGTCAGGACTTGAAGAGACGTGGGCAGATCGTGAAGAAGAGAGGTTTAGCAAATGTAATCGGAAGAGCTTAAGGAGATTTGCGGAACCCTAGATTGCAGGGGGGGGGGGATTCGATCTGGAAGAGGCAGTTGTGGAAGAGAGAAGAAGAAAAAAATGGTATTACCGTCCTTTGAAGGTGTCCTCTTCGATGTTGTTTTTAATCGATCTACAGGGGTGGTGGGAAGCGGTGAAATCGATTTAGGGCTAATGTTCTATATTTATCTTTGCTTCTTGCGTGATATAAGGAATTATTGTTGATCTACCATAATTAACTATGCAAAGATTACTATAATACCCTTAAATGATTTATTTTTTCCTAATTTCCTATTGGTGCAGTCATGCACACAATAGTTGCTAGAAACATTTGAACCTAGCTCTCTCTCTCTCTCTCTCTCTATATATATATATATATATATATATATATATATATATATATAGAGAGAGAGAGAGAAAGAGAGATTATCATCTAAAAATTAGTTTTAGTGTGTAAACATAAGAACTATTTTAATCCATTAGATTAATATTTATCCAGCCGTCCAATTACATTGACTGATCTCGGTCAAGATGTAGATTAGTCATTTAACTAATCTAATAAAGGTAACAATAAATCCAATCCCTTAGTATGCAAAACATAAAATCTTGTATTATTTGTTATATGTTATAGTAGTATTGGTGTGTTCATCGTCTTCAACCGGATTCATCGTCTGCATATAATTTTTTTTTCGATTAGCAATAGTCAATAACATAAGATGTCTAATACTAGGTCTCCACGACGGTGCTCTATTTGTGGCCAGATCGGTTATCATAATTTTCGTAACTGTTCATTGAAGAAGAGGGATGAAGATGTAACCATTCAAACATCTAAACAAAGTATGATAATTTCCTTAGAGTTGTTTTCGATTTGTTTAATTTTTGATGCGTATATATAGTTGTTTAAATAATTTTTCATATCTTTTTTATAAAAAATTATTTGAAATATCATTTTATATACTATTAATTTTTTTTATATCATGTTAATTTCATTTTGTATTGCAGAATTGCAACCATATGTTGGTAGTCATAAAAGAATTAACTCTATTCAACCCATAATATTGTTTTTAGAATTTGGTTGTACCGTTCTAATGGAAACAATAATTGTAATGTGGAAGTTGAAAATGATGGTTCTTTTATCGATATCAATACATATGTTGATAATAACATGAAAGAGAGTGACATTCATCCTTCAAATTCTGAATCTAATACTATTGATGAAGATGTTATAAGTGGTCTTGGCATTAACCAAACTCCAAAAGGTATGTTGAATTTCAGTTCATAATAGAATTGTTTAACTGATGAATTTATACAATATACACAATAATTTTATTAGAACGTAATTTATTATGTAGGCAAGTATTTCGTTGATGAATCATCTAGTAGTAATCAATTTCAGTCTCATGGGGGTCACATTTATTGGATACCAAATGTGCCTGTTAAAATAAGGCTAGTAAAATGGTCAACACCAATCTCTCGGTTGTAGAGCCACCCTAATTTGTTGTTCCATCGTGTCAAGATGTCTCGTGACATCGTTGTGGGAAAATTGTAAAATGGGTGTAAACCCGCAACTCCAAGAGGTGCCTCCCTTCTAGGACCCATTTCTGCAAAAACAAGCAACAAACACAGCCACAAGAAACAACCCACAAGTTTAGAAATAAAGGAAACAGAAAACTGTTCAGCCCAGAATTCACGTCGTGAATTCCTAAGAATTCACGTCGTGATTTCGTCATCGATGTCAAATTATGTTC